ATGAAGGAGCTGAGCAGGTGACGGCCGGGGCTGAAGACCTACCCTGGCGTGTCGACGATGCTCGGAACCTGCGGACCTTCCGCACCGTGGCGCCGCTTCCGAAGAGGGAGTTGCAGTGGCAGCCGTCCTTTGGCCAGCGGCGGCGCACCGCAAGAGGTCGGCAAAGCCGGGCGCGCGCGCCAGGATCTCCAACTCGACGTCTTCGGGCAGCCTCACCAGCGAGAACGCTGCGCGTGCGTGCATGCCAGTGCCGTTACGCGTGTGTGCATGTCATCGCTGGTATGCGCATGTACGCATCAGGCAAACATGATTAGTTTTTTGCTCTAATTAACCTAGGTACGTATCTAATGGACGCTATCTAGCTAAGAGATGCATGCATATCAGACAAGATTACCTACAAACCTGATTGCTATACATAAGAATAATATGTGAATTTAATTTTTACCGTTATAAAAGTTTCCGCAACAACGCACGGGGAATCATCTAGTTTATCAACATCACAAAACATATCACATCATCCATGTGTTTGTATGTAAATAATCTGATCATAAACTACACTAGGGGTAAAACAGTCTTTTCAGTTCAGACTTAACACCGTTAGTGGCCAAAACTGACGGAAGTATCGCATAGGGAACAAAATGAAGTTTGAGTGTCAAAAAGGGAAGAAAGGAAAATTTTGGATCAAAAAGGGAAACAAAATTTAAGAACGGGCCAAATAAAGAATTCTCTCTTAATTGTATGCCTCCATGCCTATCCTCTTGTTCAAGGAGGGAGCATACTCGCCTGGCCTTCCAACGCTTCCAACTCTAAATCATAAAAAAATGTCCTCGTCATTGAGGTGAGCGTGTCGGCCGGTGCTCGAGACATAACACAACAGTCCGGACGGGGTGGTGGCGAGGGCCGACCTGGGCAGCGGCGGCGGCCAACCTGGACGAGGTGGTGGCGAAGGCCGGCGGCCAACCGGGGCGGCAAGGGCCGACCTGGACAGTGGCGGCGGCCAACCGTGACGGCGCCGACAGCCGAAATGGGGCGACGGCGACGTCCGTACGGGGAAGGAACGGAGGAGGAAACTGAGACGGGGACGAGGAGAGAGAGCAGCTGACTGAGAAATTCAGGCAGCGGGGGCTGTAGATCGGACGAGAACGAGGACGAACGGAGACCAGGGACGGAGGATAGCAACCGCGACGGGGACAAGGAAGCACGCACAGAGTTGCATCGTGCGGGAGCGAGGCTAACTTAGCATCTGATACCATGTTGGATAATGAGCAACTAGTATTCACTGAGGGCCAAAGACCATTACATATACATGTGAGGTAAAATGCAAGAAACCCCTTATACAATTGGGATGTACCAAAAAGGACTATACACATCTAACAGTCCCCTCTCCGGGTCTATATCTAGTCTCCTTGTTTCTGACAGTGGCACCAGTCGCGTCCAATTTCTTTTTGTAGGTTTTGCAGCTAGGAAATAATTTATTTAGCTAGGAGACTACAAATAAACCATATTCGATTGGAAAAGGCATGGGTATTTGTTTTAAAGCGGGTTACAGAATCTTGGGGTACATGCTTGAGTTCCAAAAGCAGGAGTTTTATAGATATAAGATGCAAAACACCACACTCTTTTCAGATTTGAGAAACAAATGTCATGAACTCTCTCCAGCTTCCTTATATCGTTGAATTGTGTGTGTTTTCCTGTAGTCGGTTTCTAATTTCTTTGGACAGTTTTAATTATCTGTCCAAAAATTGAGTTAGAAAAAGTAAACCGGACATCTAAATAAACTAAATTTTAACAGCTCACTCGGCGAATTATGTGGCTTTTGTAATTTGATGAGTTACAGCTTGACAAATGCATAATATTTCCTAAACTGTTTTCTTTGTCAATTAAATTCTGCTCATACATCTTCTTTACACTTGTGTGTATGCAGCTATAATAATGAACCAAAAAGAAGAAGAGACATGACCAAACTGTCTGTTCAATCTCTTAGCTGTCAAAGGAATATTGTCAAAACCATTTACTTCCACCTCCTGTTACTAGTTTCTTGATCTGGTCACCAGTGAGAGTCTCATCCTTCAGGAGGGCGTTGGCTAGCGCATCAAGCTCCTTCCTACGATCCGTGAGAATCGCTTTGGCGTTCTTGTAAGCGTTGTCCAGTAAATCTTTCACCTCCTCGTCAACCAGTTCTGACATCCGCCCGCTCATGTTCGTCGCCTTGCCACCGCTAGCATCACCGCCATTGCTATAGGTAACAAAGCCCACCCGCTTGCCCATGCCATACTTGGTGACCATGTCAGTCGCCAGCTGAGTCGCCTCGCTTAGATCAGTTGAGGGACCAGTGGTGACCCTGCCTTCTCCGGCTATAAGCTCCTCGGCCACCCGCCCGCCCATCATGACATCTAGAGTCGCCAGCATCTGCTTCCTCGAGAGTTCAAACTCGGCATCTTCCCCTGGCAGCTGCATCACCATGCCAAGAGCACCCACCCTGGGAACAATGGTGGCCTTGTCGACAGCATCAGCACCGTCTGTGAATATAGCAACAAGAGCGTGCCCTCCCTCATGGTACGCGGTCATCTTCCTGGAATGATCAGGTATCACCACTGACTTGCGCTCGCTTCCCATCATGATCCTGTCCTTGGCATACTCTAGGTGATGCATCGTAACAGCTTTCGCCCCGTCCTTGGCAGCGGTGAGGGCGGCCTCATTCACCAGGTTTGCAAGGTCTGCACCTGAGAGCCCAGGTGTCCCCGTAGCGATTGTCAACACATCCACACCCTTGGCTTTCACCTGCTTGCATGGAAAAGTACACAGAAATGGTCAATGTTAAGTCTTATGTTATACTCCCTCCCTCCATAAAGAAATATAAGAGTAAACGCTCTTATATTTCTTTACAGAGGGAGTAGATCGCAAATAGTTTTGGGGACAGAGGGATATGCCACCTTTGAGATATAAGACTCGAGGATCTGCCGTCGGCCCTCGACATCTGGAAGAGGAACCTGGACATGACGGTCAAAACGCCCAGGCCTGACGAGGGCTTTATCTAGCGACTCCATGAAGTTGGTCGCGGCGATCACGATGACCCCGTCATTCTGCTACAAAATGTTGGAGCTCTGACCAGCCCCACATTTGCCATGAGATTCCAAAAATTGAGCTGAGCAGGCCAAATTATACGCTGATCGCACAGATGTTGAATTTCTGATTCTACACTAAAAAAGACTAATATTTTTGTGTGTGTTGATGAGCTAATTAGATTTCTTTGAATGGATAGATGACCCATTGTAAGTAAACTTCCCAAGGTAGAAAGACTTCACCAACAATTCCATGTTAATTAGCACACACACTTCATAGCCAGCTTCAGCCTCGCTAGCGGGGAAAGGTGCGGCGACACATTGCGTCCATGTGAGTGTTTGGTGTTACAAAGGTAGAATAGGGAACGCAAGTTTTACCATCACTCAGTCTATCTGTTTGTGACCAGATTGTGTGACTTGCTATTCTTGGAATGAATTAATGGTTTGCTTTTTTAGAAAAGGAGGATGGCCCCCGGCCTCTGCATCTGGGAGATGCATACGGCCACTTTATTAATTATTCTCGAGGACCTTACAAAGTATTACAAACAATATATCTGAATCCACCATCTTGGCAACATATGCCGCTACTCTTATCCATATGATGAAGGGATGCTAGCTGGGCCCCTACCCAAACTACTCACCTAAACCTAACATCAAACGCCGGAAGCCCCAGCCGAGCCACATACCGGGTCTGGGGCACAATCCGGTCAGACACACTCTTGCGTCGTCGCCGCCATCTTCCACAGGTCCGTCTTCAGATGATATTGAGTCTTCTACCTTGTGAAGGCCACATCCGCCATCGACGTCACCATGACGCCAGACAACTACCTCCTCCTGCGCGAGTCCATCTCCGCGCATCGGACGCCGAGCCTCCACGGCACCATGCCGCCGATCTCCGCCGCCATCAATGAGTGAGATGAAGTACCGCTCCACCACGGCAAGTACAAGGTGAGGAAGGGCGAGGTCGCCATCGGAGACACGGCCGGAAGATAAGCACCGCAGCCACGGAGCTGCAACGCGGAAAATGAAAAAATTTGAGTCCTTTGCAATTTCCCTTTCTCTGTAATGTTCTTCTTTTTCATTGATGGTTCAAAAAAATGAAAAGAAATGGTACGGAGCTAATAGGTGTGCTAAATTCGCATTTAAGTACAATGTCGTTATTGCAACCGAGTGGTCATTAGTTCAAAAGAGTACAAAGTTAAAAAAACATCTGATTCAGAATGAAACAACACCAAGAGGCGGTGACATTCAGAGAATGTTGTGAGACAACATGCATTTGACGTTCTTTACTCTGCCCAAAATCATCCTTTTCCTCTTCATGGTCTTTTGAGAATAGTTCTTTTGCAGCGCGACTACATAGATTAATATTGTGCCAGTGATTTGGATTTTTTGTTCGTATATCATTTTCTACAGTTTAACTATACTAACCTTTTCTTCGGTTTGGATTCCATTGGTGGATCATTCACAATAGATATTGTGTGCTCTTCGGAAACGGTTGCAGAATCTCGTGTCTGATAGCAGTTAGGCCAATATGTATTAGCACACAGATGTTTAAATTGACGTAACATCTAGAACAGCAAGGTTAAATCAACTTTTCCCAGTAGATTCTCAAATTATGCCTTTTTTAAGTGTCTCTATATTAAAAGAAAGTCAATGCACTTCTTGGGACCGTTGTGCTAGAACGGGTGGTAAGAGAAAATTGGACATAAATGAAAAACATGCAGGACATGTAAAGGTAGGGAAATAAATAAATAGTCTTAAGACCTATAATCAATCAACGGTTTGATCTTTTGTGTAACCAGACATCAAATTCTGATATTTCTTTTAGGAGTAGAAGCTTTTTTCTGCAGTAAAAAATACACTGGCTCACAATCAACTTACACCGTTAATTGAATTGATGCATCGGCTTACATTTAACTAGAACACAAAAATATACCAACATTGTTCAGTTCAGGCTAAGACGCAACGAATTTTGGACTAACTTAGCGTGCTTACGGGAAAAGGAGAAAAATAGAAAAGAGAAAGTTCAGTTGACAACATCAGAACATATGGGCATAAGGCGTAGCAGCTAAGAAAACCACCTAGGTCCCTTCTTTTTATGGACACCCTGGTCTCTTGTAATATCAGAGGAGTAGAAGAAAACATCTACGACAAAGTCACGGTTGAGGCACATGCCCATCTTCAGCTCCAGTTGTTTTATCAGCAGAAAAATCCTCTAATCAATTTTGGATTAACTTAGTGTGCTACAAACCCATGCAGGTTATACCATTCAACATTGCCAGAGAATCGATGAACCAAGCTAGCTTGGAATCCATTTAGGAGAAAAAATTAAGTTGTCCATGGCAAGGGACGGCATTGCCAATTGGTTTGACACGCCTGACAGTGCACGTTGGTTGTTCTCCACGGGTTACATCCTTCCCAATGCGTTATGCTGCCGAAATTTCTAGCGAAAATTCCCACGACTTGTCGAAATTTTGTCCTTGTTTGTAAGACAAAGAAAGCTTTAGGGTGTTAGCTGCAAAATGGTAGGGCCTTGTTTGTAAGAAAACAAAAGCATTAGGGTGTTAATTGCAAAATGTTAGGGCCTTGGCTGTAAGGTTGTGTCAATTTTGTTATTGCTGTGTTCTTCATGAATTCCATGCCACAGATTGTTATTGCTGTGTTCTTGTGCTCCCTCACAGATGGTTATTTCTGTTCTAATGCCGATCTATGCCATGAAAAGATCTACCACACCTAGCCTCTTATGCTGGTCTATGTAGAGTGTTCTTTGGGGATTACTTGCCCAAACAGGAAAATAACAAGATTTTCAGAGGGGGTAACGCAGATTGTTTTCACAAGTGGCAGTAAATATATATACAAGCATGAACTACAAATTGTAGCTTGTACGGTAGAACAATATGCTACTCCCTCCGTCCCATAATGTAGACGTTTTTTAACACTAGCGTAGTGTCAAAAAGCGTCTTATATTATGGGATGGAGGGAGTACTTACTAGCTTCCTATAATTGGTTCACCACTCTGTAGCACATCCCTTTTGCCTAGTTAAGTTTCTTATAATCTAAGCTGTACAATGCATAGTCCTCTTGTACATGAACTCTTTTATAGTAAATATAAATAAGGATTACAGTGGGGTTCACAGGCCAAAAGAAATTTAGCAATCTTGGGGCACATTACATCCATGTAATTTGAGATTCAAAAGCAACGTGTGTTTACAGATTCACAACATAGTATTCCAAAATACACGCTGTATTCCCTCCATAAGAGAGAAACAAAAACCAGAAAAAATCAGACCATCTGGATCTTCTTTACATTTGTGTGCATGCAGGTAAAGAAAAATAAATAATTTCATAGACCGACCACACCATTTTACATCTCCACTGCTAGGGTTAGGATGAAGATGGTGGTACGCGATCATCTTCCTGCAGCTCTCAGGCATCGCCACCGTTTTGTTCTTGCTGCCCATGATGATCCTTCTCATGGCTGCATACTCGAGGTGTTGTGTCGTGACAGCTTCTGCCCCGTCCTTAGCAGCCTTGAGAGCAGCTTCATTCACCAGGTTTGCGAGGTCTGCACCTGTGAATCCAGACGTCTCATTGGCGATGGTCTTAAGATCAACATCCTTGGCTTTCAAGACCTGCATCGAAAGTGTCATGGAGAAAAGGTTGTTAAAGAAATTCCATCAGAGACTGCTTAACATTTTTGGATAGAGTATAAACAAACCTTTGACATATGGGCCTCAAGGATCTGCCTTCGGCCCTTAGCATTTGGATAAGGAATCTGAACGTGACGGTCGAAACGTCTAGACCTAACAAGGGCCTTATCCAGTGACGACTCGGGGATATTGGTCGCCGTGACCACGATGACTCTGTCATTCTGCTCGAAGCCATCTAGCTCAACTAGCAGCTGGTTCAGGGTATGCATCTGCGACTCTGAACCATATGAGTTCCTGCTCTCATAGATGAACACTATGCAAGGAGATCGCTTCTTCACCGCGGCGAAGAGCGCCCTCACTCTTTTTGCCCCAACGAACACATAGTCATCGTTGAATTCGCTGCCGCTGCACGCAAAGAAGGGCACGCTGGCTTCCTCGGCCATCGCCCTTGCCAACATTGTCTTCCCGGTGCCAGGCGCACTGAGGAGCAGGACGCCTCTCGGAAGCTTGCCACCGAGGCGTGTGAAATGCCCAGGGTCTCGTAGGTAGTGTACAATGTCCTCGAGCTCGGCTTTGGCGCCATCAATCCCCTTGACATCACTGAACTTTGTCCTAGATGAATTCTTGACCTCCTTTTTCGAGCCATCAAAATCACAAGCCAAATGCTGAGGGTCTTGCAGGTGCCATCGATCCCCGTGACATTTTTGAACTTTGTGCTGGTTGGATTCTTGACCTCTTTTTTCGAGCCATCAAAATCACAAGCCAAATGCTCAGGGTCTTGCGGATACTGTACTATGTCCTCGGCTTTCTCGCCATCGATCCCCGTGACATCTTTGAACTTTGTGCTGGTTGGATTCCTGACCTCTTTTTTCGAACCATCAAAGTCACAAGCCAAATGCTCAGGGTCTTGCGGATACTGTACTA